TTAAATTGCTTTTTTTTTATGATTAGATTTTATTATTAAAATGATGTTTTTGTGATAAGAAAGATTGTATCTCTTATTTTTATTTGTAAATCTTTTATTTTTGAGAAAACGACTTGAATAAAGACATAATTAAAATGTTATTATTATGCAATGAAAGGAAGTTTCAATAGCAATTTTGTAAATAAGGAATTTCTTAAAATTATGTGCAAATACACGAATTTCAATATATTTTCTACAAATTAAATTATAGTGGGCCTGAAGGTAAAACTGCCTAAGTCAGGTTAGCACATAATAAAGATATAGTTATACATTTTTGAATTATTCTTATTAAAATTTATAATCTAAGTTTGATTCGGACTTTTATACTGTGGTCAAATTAATAACGCGACTCATGAGTTCCGTTTTTTTTTTTTTTGTGGTGAACGTTTTATACGAAATCTAATTTTATTTTCATTTAGAATTTAATTCTGAGTAGCAAAAATGATGTAAATTAACATCACGTTGTAAATCAATTTTTTTAATATTTTTAAATACAATTAATTTCAAAACAAAAGTCGCTTAATTTTCATGAAAGGAACCGTTTCATTAGTAGGCATCACCAGCAAGTTAAAATTTTTTAATTATTAAATTTCAAGGTTATAAATCTATACAATATAAAAGAAAGTAAGCATCCCAAAAGTATGCAATATTTAAAAAATATTAAATACGATCGTAACAAATTGAGTCAGAGATAGCATTCTATTTCGAAATAATTTTCTTCTTCTATCTTATCTATTATAACTTCTAAGTATTTAGAAAGAAATTGATCGCATGCGACAAAAATGTGCTTTCCATACTATATGGTTTGTGTCTCAACTCATATTTTTCAATTAATAAAATTTATTTTTTTAATAAAACTAAAAGCTTTTCTATATTATTTTTTTTGTTTTTACGATTGTAAAATTTTAGCTTTTGTTCCTATATATTCTGTGATGATGACTAAATAAAAGTTTTTCTGAAAGGTGTGTATCGCCTGTATATTATGAAATAAAAGTTGATTTTCTAGATTCTCTCAAGTATGTGCTTTGTATAATATACAAGTACTATATAAAAATTCTATACTATGAATGAAATATATATGAATTCTGTTTATATCCAATACATATGTAAATTAAATTGTTTCACAAGGGGGCTCGTTCATTTCGTCATCATGTACAAATACCATATTAAAAAAACCTATGCATGTATGGATGCTTGTAAATTTCGTGCGGAATTCTTTTGTGTTTTTTTTTTATTTATTTTCAACATAATATGAATAAATATACATATATATAAGAGTATATGCATTTATCTTATATCTTATATTTTACATACAAGCACCATGGTCTGTAAAAATTTTATGGATGTTTTAGTAAACAATAAATTTAAAATGAACTTCATATTTATGGTAAAATATGCTTACGTTTGTATTTTTATCCAAAAAAAAAGTAAAAAGGCATAAGCAATAAAATATTTTAAGATATATAAAGGTATAGTAAAAGCGCGATAGTATACGTACATAATATGCCATATACACATATTTGTACATTTGGACTGATACTAGATATATTGTAATTATATAGATAATGAATAATATTACAGCATGTACCTATTTTAATTTGGAATACCATAGAGTTTATAATTAAACTTCAGCGAAAATATTTTGTATCTGAAAATTTATCGATAATTTTACAAATTTATTCGAATTTTTACTTTATTTAATTGATTCCAGTAAGAAATATATTATGGTATATATGAAAGTGTGTTAATATATATATTATATGAGTATGTACTTATATATTCACATATAATATATGTATTTATGTGTAAATATATCCACATATATTTCTGTATGTATTATTGATGTCAATAACACGAGAGGAAAAAATTTCTCATTTTTTTGTGCTACAATGTAAAAATATGAACATTCTAAGATATTCTGATTAGATTTCTAAATGAACTAAGAATTTGAGTTTGTACATGCAACAATAGGAAAAATTGAAAATGTATCAAAATAAATTTTGAGGTTTACACATACATTTACGTTAAATATTGTTTTTGCCGTTCGTACACGCTTATAATATTAAAAAATTTACAATAGTTTGTAAAATCTTTTATTACTTAAGAAATTGATAATATCTTAGAAAAATCAGGAAGAATATTAAAAATAATTAGTACAGATATCTTATCTATTGTTCAAATAAAAGCTGGAAATGGATTTTTTTTTCAATTTGAAATTTTGGGCTTAAAAACCAATATATAAGTAACCATAACATATAAGGTATGGTTATAATATATATCTATATAATTACGTATTTATGTTTGCAATTAGTACAGATACAGGTTGAAAATTCGTATCGTAAAATTGCGAATTGAAGAGAATGTTTCAATTACCACAATGGCTGGTCCGACTCATAATTTCGAGTTTACATGTTTTGACCTATTCTTATATTGAGCTGCCTATTTTGTTATTTTTATAACCCATACCTATTAGAGATGCATTTTATAAAAGTTCTTGGTTTTGGAAGGCTCAGTTTTAGAATTCAATTCAAATAGCATAATTATCGGCATTTTTGATCAGGCTTTAAAGTTTTTAGCATAACAAATGTAACTTTCATTTTTTGTAATTTTTATAATATAGAATTGCCATACTTTTTGAACGTTTTAAAAATTTTTGAATATTTTAAAGTAGTTATTGTTTAAGCAGAAATTAAACACTCTGATAAAACGTCCAAGAAATATTCAAAATTGAAATTAAGAAATTTTTAAAAATTTTTAATTTTAATTTTTTACAACTTTTAAAATCTCAATGGTCATAAATTATAAAAGTTGTTATAAAAGTTGTAATTGAGAAAATTTTATATAAAATATTATATGTGGTCGAATTTACAAAATAATTTCCAAAATAACATGGTAAATTGCCAACTATCAGTTCTTGTCACAACACTGGTTTTAGTAAATGTTGTTCGTGTATACCTATAGCACATTATCGCATTTATTTTTTTTTTGTATTATTAAACTTTATCTAAATTTCATGAGACCACCTCAATTTAAATATTTTACTATGTGGATACCTATTAAAATATGCATATTCGTATTCACGCCATATAAAGTTCGTAAATAAGTGCATATATGTATCCATACTCGTATATATGTACATAATATTCCAAATTATAATATACAAATACTTATATGGTAAGTATTATGGCAAAATATATAAATGCATCGATTTAAAATGGATTTTTATTTTCAAAGCGTAGATATATTTATACATATGTACATATAACCTTATATAATATATGGTATACATAATTAAGTAGGTGCATGCTGTACATTCATACATACTATTATGTATGTACATCTATATAATATGTATGTATTGAATTATTATAATATGTATATGTTTAAAGTTGATTTTAAAATATCTAGGAATGAAATAAAAAATGTGTATACATAAAGTATAGATACATACATATATTTACTATAATTATATATAATGTAATATATATAGGTATGTACTTGTGTATCTATATAACACAATTTCCCTATATAAAAATATTATGTACAGTATATTTGTGTCTTTTGAATTTTTTTTTCAATATTTTGTATTTCATGTTTTTTGTATGTTAACTTTTTTTTCTCTTGTTTTTTTGTTTTGTTTGTTTCTTTTTCGTATATAATTTTTTTTGTTTGTATAGTTTGTTGTTGCTGGAATTATTTTATATTTTTGTTGAATTATATTGAAAGTCTCATTACACATATTAAGCATTATACAAGAAACTATCGTGCATGAAACATTAAAAAAATTTTTTAACTTAAAAAATAAAATTAAACGAGCAAAAAAAAAAAAAAATACGCGCTAAAAATTTTTTTATTTTATTAATTAATTCACAGTCTTGTAAATTAAAATACAAATTGTAGCAATGTATTTTAAATTGAACCGTGCTAAGTGATTATAAACAGTAAAATTTGCATATCATTTAATAAAAATTTTAAAAAAGCAGTGTTAAAAGTGTAACATTGTTAAAGAATTGGTCATAAAATTTGTATAAAATTATAATTGAATTTTATAAGTGAAAAATACCACGTTGTTTTCTAAATTATAATAGAGTAAATTTTAAAATATCTTCTCTAATTTTTTTATAATTTTGAATTTTGTGCGTTTATTCCGAAATTTTTACCCAAATTTTTTGCATATTTTTTTAATTTTTTTTTACTATACTTACCTTTTTTTATCAATTTATTTTTTTTTGACAATTGTGTCTTTGACTTCAAAGTCATAATAATATACATTCGAATGTATTTGTATATGTACGTATAAATACATAAAAAAGAAAAGAAAAAAACAAAAAATAAAGTTATATTGAGCATGCCCGTTATTTAAGGATATCAAAAATTTCGGTTACAAGAACAATTTCAATAAGATATACATACATTTGTACATGAGAAAAATAAGAACAAACTAACAAAATTGGAACATAGCAATATAGAGGTTATAATCGAAATATAATACTAGTTAATTACGTGGGTGGTATAGGTGATATTAATACGTGTATATATTTCTAATATCTATATATACATATATGTATTAATAGACGTATTTTACCTTGTTTTTACCAATTGAAAAAAAAACTTATATAAATAACCTGATCATCATTATAATTTTTAACATTATTTTGAAAAAGATTTCTGTGTTAACACTGAATTAAGAAAAAACAAAATTTTTTCATATGAGTTTTCGATACGCGTATCCTTTTTTTATGGTCATATGAAAAGTGCGTGTAAAATATTAAAAATTGACAATTTAATTCAAAGTAGAAAAAAAATTCTTAAATAATTAGAACATCCTTTGTATATATACATACATATCTGTTGTAATAATATCTATGTAATAAAGGTAAAAATTTTTATGACATTTTAACGAATTTACGTATTTTACCGTTATATAAACAAAATACTTGTACTATTTTTAGTACCTACTAAATATAAAAACAAATTTTTTTTAATTTTCATTTCTGGTTGTTGCTAAAAAATAACTCAAAATATTGATATAGAAAAAAATTATTTGTAAACACATAAAATAAATACCTAAACATACGAGTAAAATTAAATATTTTAATGTGCATACAAGGTAATTCAAAACTATATTCTATTTTCGAAATTAATATTTAAAAAACAAACAGAAAATCACGCAAATATTTTAATTAAAAGTTCAAGAAAACGAGCAAACAAACAAAAATAAGAACAGAAAAACCTTCAAATAAAATCCAAAAAATCAGCAAAAAAAAAAAACAAAGAGAGAGAAATTAAAATTTTTTTTTTCAATATTAATAAAAAATTTTTACCTGACTTTACTATAACTAGTAAAATCTGACTAATAATTAAAGTTCTATTAAGCTGTTATAATTCTAATATACAGAAATAAAGAGAAATTTTAATTAAAAACGTAAATAGAAACTACTATATACAAAAAAAAAAATAAGAAGAATTTTTCATAATGAAAGCCGAAGAAACAACGCAATCAACAACAGCACAATCAGCTATTGAAAATGCTGAAGAAAATTCAAGGTTATTGGCCGCACCACCTGGTTCCACAGAATATGGATGCAAAGCAGCGGTAAAAATTTTATATTTTCTTTTTTTTTGTTATACTACAATTATTTTTTAAATGCTTACATCTACTCGCAGTTCTTTTTTTTAATTTGTTTTATGTTTTTAACTGTTAAATATTTAAAGAGTTCTATATTAATATACCATTATTACAAAAATTGTATGCAAGTAATTATGTATTTATGAGAAACATAGGTATGCGTTAACTAATAGAGGTTAAAATGTATACAAAACTTGTACATACATACATTATTGCTTACTCTTATAAAAAAATTTATAAAAAAATACGTGAACGAATCTAAAAAATATCGTTGGTTTTCTTTAAAAAAAAAAATTAAATTGTGAGAATTTTTTTCCCCCTAAAAAGGTTAAATAATATTTTTTTTTATCATAAATGCTTACATATTCAATATTAATAAGTATAAATGTATGTATATTTTTTTATGTGTCAATTGTGTGTAAATAAGATATTGGAGGCTTGTTTCTTATATAAATATGTATATGTATACATTTTACATACGTACACAATCGCTATATACTATTTCTAGTAATTATTTATTCTATAGAGTAGCAATAAAATATTGGTTGTATTTAGGTTATAAACAGAAATTGCAATGTAAACTGTACGTTTTTCTGCAATTTAATAAAATATTGTTATAAACTTTTAACTATTACATGTCATTTACAATATGGTGTAAATTTACTTTGCAAAACTCTTGAACATAAAATGTTGTTATTTCTGTTATACTATTTAAGTGTTATATATATATCCATAATAAGTGTGATGGCTCTACTTGATTCTGTTTAAATCAAGTCTTATTATTAGATTTTCTTATATTAAATTTAAAATTATTTTTTATTATACACACATTCACAATATTATAAAATGTGCATAAAAATTGATTGTGCCGCCGCTGCTACTGTTATGCTACCATATAATAAAAATCAAATCATCATTTTAAATCGTTTTCTTTATCATCTCTTTTCTTTTCTTTGCACTATAATACTCGTATTGTAGAATTTTATTTTTAAATAACCAGTTATTTAAATTAAATTATTTATTTTTGATTTTTTTCTATTTTAAAGTATACCATTTATTATGGTTATGTTAAGATTAATTTATGCTAAAATGTAAATTCAAAATATATCTACATAGGTATATAGAGTTTTTATTACATAATCTTATAAAATTATAAATTTTATATGGCCGACTATAAAGAAAAGATAATGGTAAATTGGAGTATGTTAGAAGAGCACTTCATTGTATGCATATTAAAATTTACAATTTAGTGTATAAGAGATATTTTATTAAAATATTTATTTAATATTAAAATCATAAAAACAAATTTCTTTTACGCATTTCTTTTCTATAGGCATATAGACTATAGGCACCATATTTAAGTAACAATGTGTATGTGTTTATGTTGACTATATAAAAATGTAAATATGTATGTACTTACATCTAGATTGAAAAAGAGTCTGCGTTTTAATATTTAATAAAATATTTTGGTGTAGGTACGTGTAAAAATGCATTACACTGACAATTGAAATAGAGTTTTATATTTTAAGTAAATATTCTTCATATATACGATATTTATATATGCATTAATAATGTTAGGATGTGTGTGCTGAATCGTGACATTTAAAAAACTTTAATGTTAAATAGGCACATTATGGGAAATGTAAAAACTCATTAACAGAAATTTGTGTTATATAAAATGAATTCTAAAATTATGTAGGTTGTTTATTTCAAATTTTAGTGCAATATCGTAAGAGTGGATTTCGATAATATTTTAACCTTATTACATTGATTTAACAGTAAAATATTTGTAATAATTATTTGTCCTTGGTCGATACTATATTACTCACTTAATAATTAGAGCAAATTTATATTTTTGAATATTTTCCATTTAAATTTATACTCGAGGTCACAAAAAAATTCTGCGAAATAAACAAGTAAGCAGTATAATGTGATGTATGGTAGTATTAGTTACGGTGATGTAATACTAAAAATATTATTGTAATATATTTCTAAAATAGTATGCATACCTAATATCGAAAAGTTTATTGAACTTTAAAAAATTTTGAGTGAAAACGTAATAGATTTCACAAAATCAATGGAATCATTGTAGGCATTTGCAATTGAATAAAATTTTAATAACTGCATAACTAATAATTTATTACTGAGCCATAATAGAAATAACAATTGTAATTTTGCACAAGAATATAAATAAGTACATCTATTGAAAATATTTTATAATCCATTGCTCTATTTCCTTTTAGTATAGAGTAAATACCAAGTTTTTAAACTGAAAATATTACTAACCTTTAAAATTGAAAAATAAAAAACTGTTAATTCTAACGTTATTTCGTAAATTTATTAAATTACGAATAGAGGTCATTTCAAAGTCAATATCATAAGAATATTATAATTAATTCATAAATCGCGGCTATAAATTTTTAAACCTTTTTTTTTTTTGTTAAAATCAATAATTAAAGGTAAAAAATTATGCAGAAAAATTTGATTTTTAATTAGTTGGCTAAGCATAATATTTTAGATTTGACATTATGTTATATGTATACTCTATTTCAAAAAGTATACAATGCATGTAAATGTGACATACTTTTATTTATATGGTCGGCTTTGTTGATAAAATTCATTCGGAGCAGTTCCTTTTTTTTCAAATTAATTTGAATACAATTTTTAAACTTTACATAAAATGAAATATTGTTGGATTTCAAATAAATGTTCACTTTAGCAATTATGATGTACTTTAATTGGAATATCGGCCTTTTTTACAAATATTTAATGCAAATTTTTTTTAATATATAAGTAATGGCCTATAAATTCCTAATTTAGTATAATTTTTGCAATTCTTTAAATTAAAATTGACAGAAATATCCGTTTCAAACTTGTAAAGAATGTTACTTGTGTTGCTTGCCCATTTACTGTTCAACAATTCTTAATTGCATTATGACACATGTCATATTCGAATATAATATTCATATTGTACAAAATGCTCTGCAATATGAATATAAATGCAATATTCTGCTCTAAAACAAAATAATTATGTCTATAGATTTTATACAAATACACATACTCGTACATTTCAATTTATACATTCTAATCTATTGAATATTTAAATTTTCTTTTAAATTCTTTTCCATTTTGAAATGCATTATTTTAATTTACATATATTATTTTTATATTTTTCATGTAGTTTAGGAATATAACTTTTCTAATTTTCATGTCCAGAATAAAATATAAAAAATAGGAATTTTACGAGTATTAAAATGAAAGTCGGCTCATTATAAAGTATTTTGACAAGCGGATGACATTTAAAAAAAAAGACATGCATGACCATTTTAATAAAATTAAAAATTCAAGAATTTACATACTATCTTTTATAAACTATATTTAATATTTTTAAGTAAGATTCTAAATTTTTGAATAATATTAATTTCTAAGTTTAGATTTTTCAGTTCTTAATTTAAGTTACGTAATATTGTTGCTGATCAGAGAGTCTCTTAACAAAAAGAGTGTCTTAATTAAATGACTTTGTGATTAGCAACAATCTTACTGCGAACTCTATTAATTAAGAGTATTTCTAATAAAATTTAGAAATCAGAGTTCAAAAGAAAAGAATTTGTCTTTCTTCGTTGATGAACGACGTTCTGACAATTGATAATACGACAAATATTGACACTACAACTACAGTTTCATTTATCGATAAACTTTTATTGGCATTTTAAAATAAATTCGTATATTTATTTCTTTGTCAAAATTATCAATAAGGTGGTAGAATGCATAATTAATTTTTTTTTTATTGTTACAATTCAATTAAAAATCAAATAATTTTTTGTAAGCGTGTAATCAAATGATATGAAACAGGAAATCATTCAACTTATTGTAATTAAACACAACATACGTTGTGTATACATTCTATTGTCAAGTATGTACAAATATACATGTACATAAATTTAGGCACAATATTTTTTTTTTGTTCATAAATAAACTTTTTTGACAGATTAGAGTTGATAGTGTTTTTTGATAATCACTCTGTATAATTCTTTTTGTTTAGTACTTGTACTTGTATGACCATTTAAGAAATATTATAATTTCCTGTTTTATTATTTTGATTTATTATAACTATGTATAATGTCTACATTCAAAGAAAATTTGAAAAAAAAAGAAAGAATAAAAAACAAATTTCCATTTTTGGCCCATTTGTCAAATTGCATTATTTTTTATTGTTCATTTTTTTTTTTGGCTTTTGATTAGAATTTAGAAATTTAAGTTCAATTGAATTTCCGGTCTTAGAAATAATATATAAACGTATAAAAATATTATAATTTATATTTTAGGTAGAGAATTTCTTAATAAATTAATATTAAATTTAAATTATTGAATCGCATATTAAATATTAAATTTTGTATATAGGGAAACATGAGGTTAAAAACTATTAAATTTTTTATGTAGCAATTAAACAAGAAGAATTTCTTTTTTTTATACTCAAGGAAATCCTTTATTTACTTTCAAAATATGAAATGATGTAATTTTTAAAATTATGTATAAAATTTTGGAATAATTGCCTGTTTTGTATATTTAAAAAGAAAAAGTATAGGCATTATGAAAATGAGTCATCATCAGGATTTTTCGTATTATTGATTAATACATATAAACTTTTAGATCAAAATAGATACTTGATACGAGTATGCTAAAAATAATAATATTGCTTTCTTTAGGGGCAAATAGAGAAAAACGAAAAATATAAACAATTGAACGCGGTATGCACCAGCGGTACACCAATCATGCTTTTATTAAGTCATTCATCATCAGCTGAATTTAACTTGCATGTGCTGAATATCATGACCCTTTACATGCTGAATATCATGGTCATTTACATATGCTGAATACCATGATTCATGCTGCATACCATTCAGAACAAAAAGAACCATACATGCTTGAAACTTAGAAATGTTTTATAAAAATTTGAATAAACAGAC